GTACCAGGATTCAGACAGGTAAGATTTACCTGTAGAAAAGTCAGTATAGATACCTACATTTTTATGATCGATAAAGAAAACCTTTATTCTTATTAACACTAGAGGTACATATCATGAATGTAAAAATTACATATATTTAGTACATATTATTTTTCTTATTCATAATAGTTTCCTACATGCACGAGCTTGCCTTTCAAACTGAAAAATATATATAATAAATCCCGTAACAATATACACATACAATGTATACTTAAACATGTACTAATAATTAAGCACATTATCGGTCTCCAAATCCTACGAAAAATCTAAAAGTGTATGGAAGTATTTAATTAAAGACGATAAAAAATAGAAATAGAGGTACTGGATCCTTAACACAGGAGTCTGAAATTATATCATTTTTTATTATTATTAGGCTTATTAATTATTACGTTTCTCGTTAAAAAAAACGTAACAAGTTTACTTACTGTCAATACTAATTGTTCTTTTATTCGGTAAGCAGGTGGAAATACTTCTGACCATAACTGATTATCATCTGTGTGTCGCGTTGATCTGTTAGCGTACGTCAGGTCTTTGTGATGGATATATTACATGTACCAATATTTGATCGACCTTTATCTTTATAAATCACGAGAAATTTCTGTTTGTTTCACACTCATCCATTATGCAAACGAAATGGCAAAATTTAAATAATTCGTATGTGCCTCGATCCTCGTAGCCTACAGTGTACTGACGTTTCTTCCTATGTGTTCGTTTCGTTTTAGATATTTTATGTGCTTCCGCTTTTTATGTAAACCCGTTCTTGTCACAACAAACGAATCACCGTTTGTAAGCGTCTTGCGTAGCACTTCCGTACCGTTTGCGTAGCACTTGCGTACCATTTCCGTACCGTTTGCGTAGCACTTGCGTACCATTTCCGTACCATTTGCGTAGCACTTCCGTACCGTTTGCGTAGCACTTCCGTACCGTTTGCGTCCAAGGTGGAACAGCGAACGTGTACGGGTCTGTACAACCCGGCAGACTCGGCACAATTCAGTAAATACATTCTCCTGGCAAAGCTCAGTAAATACATTCTCCTGACAAAGCTCAGTGAATAAAACACCCCTACGTTGGAGTTGAATTACGTTGTCAAAAAATAGGTCGTGTGATTTGAAAATTAGATATCCTTTTCTTTTGTACTTTTAAATTAACTGCAACAAACTTATAACGACTTAACATGTGAAAGATATGATTTCCTGCTTGATTATATGCATGTTTATCGAAGTCATAGTTTCATTCACAATAAATATATAGAGCAACATGGTATTCTGATCTTCCCTCGTGACCCATTCTTGTTGGTGACACCCGAGTCACTAAAAACATGATACCGATATTTGTTTTACCAGGAAGTTACTGAACGTGGTACACCGATTAGAAAAGAGATTTTATGTTGATTTAGTCTCGAGCGTCCTTGAGACAACGGGACTCAATTTTGTATAAACGGGTAATATGGCCCCCCTGGGGGCAGAGGGACGGTTACGAATTGGGGAAATAGAGGTGAAACCTTTAAAATCCTTCTCCTACCGTAAGGATTAAGGAATTTTATCCTGATTTAGTCTGAAGCATCCTTGAGCCAAGGGGACTCAATTTTTTTTATAAACGATGAATGTGGCCCCCCTGGGGGCAGAGGGGTTGGTCGAATAGGGAAAACAAAGCAAATTCTTTAAAATCATTCTCTTTATGCAGGAATGACAGGATTTTGTCCAAATTTATTATGAAGCATCCTTGGGTGAAGGGAAACCAATTTTGTATAAACGGTGGGTCTGACCCTTCTGGGGGCAGAGAAGCGGAGCCCAATAAGGGATATAGAGGAATAGCTTTAATATCCTTTTTCTTCCATTTGGAAGAAGGTATTTTGACCAAATTGAACAGGAGCATCCTATTTGGAAGGGGATTTTTTTTTTTTTTTTTTTATAAATATTGGACCTAAGGGGTGGGACCCAATAGGGATGATTGAGCAAATCCTTTAAAATTCTTCTTTTGTAGGAATTACAGAATGTTGTCCATAATTCATCTAAAGCATCATTTGGTGAAAGGGACTTATTTTGGTATAAAAGGTTGGTCTGACCTCCCTGAGGGCAGAGGAACGAGACCCAAAAGGGGAAACATAGCAAATTCTTCAAAATCCTTCTTCTGTAGGAATGACAGGTTTTGTCCAAATTTGGGATGAAGCATCCTTGGATGATTGGAAACCAGTTTTGTATAAACGGTGGGTCTGACCCTCTTGGGGCAGAGAGGCGAGGCTCAATAAGTGATAAAGAGGAATAGCTTTAATATCCTTCTACTGTTTGGATGAAGGTATTTTGACCATTGAACAGTACATCTGTAGCATCCTATCGGAAGGAAAATCATTTTTGTATAAACGGTGGGTCTGACCCCCTTGGGGGCAGAGGGGCGGGACCTGAAAGGGGAAACATAGCAAATTCTTCAAAATCCTTCTTTTCCTGTAGAAATGACAGGATTTTCTCCAATTGTATATAAATATAACCCCTGACTAACCATGTAATACATGTACTCTTCCAGCAACATCTTGCTATTTCAACTTCAATTTTGCTAACATTTCCAGGTAGATACAGGCCCTCTAGGCCTCTTGTTTAGTCAAATAAAATCACATTCTTTTTTCAGATGAATTTGTATTATTTTAGGTCATTGTTTATGACAGGACATATTGTCTGTTCACCAGAAAACTGAAATCTCGTAATGTTTATTCGAAAATTTTGTATTGGGCAATACAAATAAGCTACTTGGTTTACATATTGAATTACGTTAAGATTTTGAGGACACAAAATGTTCAATGCTCAGTATGAATCCAATGTGGACGACTTTGGCCAGTGAATAACAGGTTATATTTATATTTGCATGGCATTGTCACTATATAGCCTCTTTGAAAGCTGTGTCGTTGATGGGACTTTAATTACCATGCCGCACGAGACATAATTACCATGCC